TTACATCTCAATTTAAAGAGAGAGAGAGAGATTGATTGAAATCAATGGACACTCCATGATGTCTCATAACATCACTGTAGTCTAGCAAGGTTGACCAGCAGTTAGTTGTCTGCCCCTCTCCTGAGACAGAACTCCATGAAAGCTAAGAAGAAAGAGAAACAGTTGTGGAGAAATGGTGGCAGGAAAAAAAAAAAGAAGAGAAGAAAAGAAGAGAAGAAGAAGAAGAAGAAGAAGAAGAAGAAGAAGAAGAAGAAGAAGACAACGAAGAAGAAGGAAGAAGAAGAAAAATGAAAAAAAAAAAAAAAGCTTAGTGCAAAGACTCACCTTAACCAACTGTCTCATTTAGTGATTTCCAAGACTACCAGCATCATATAAGCATACGGCATTATATTGTTGCGTTTACCCCTGTTGAACACTCTGAAGATCTAGATGTTTCTCCCAACAAAACCTTTCTGTAAGCGCAACTGGGAGTTGCCACCTCAGCATGGATGGTTTGATCATTTTACCTAATTGATGTAAGGGGAGAAAACTGGGGACTTGTCTGAATGTTCATTTCTGTTTTCTCTGTTTGGTTTTCCTTTTGGATTGCAGAAGCAATGAAAATCACTTATGCTTTTTCTTCTTCCCATTTATTGCTTTGATTGAGGTGAAAGAGAGCATTGATGATCATGTTTTGCCAGAAAGTGTAAACTTTGACTACCAAAATTACAGAATATCGCAAAGCTTCATTTTAAAACTCTTCTATGTTATGCCATGTCTGCATTAAAACAGTCAGTAGAAAAATGACAAACGAATAGAAACAATTTTTGTACCCCTTGTCTTTATGGCCCCGCCCCCACCTCCACGCCGGATGCCTAGCCTGGCAGAGGGAGCTCTTGATCACTAGAGTTCTGGTCTCATTCCTCTAGGCACGAAATCAGCAGTTTCTATATTTTATATTTTTGTTAATCTTTTTCTTGAATTTGGAAGCTAGAGTAGTGAGAGTTACTGATCACAGAATGGTGGTTTTTCACTCTTAGCCTCTAACGTCTGGCTGAACACAAAGGAGTCTTCTTAGGAGTCTCCTGCCCTCTTTTTTGTTCTTCTCTGTTATCCTTGGTTCAATGAAACCTTGTCCTGAGGGTCATTGGGTAGATAAGAACTTTTTCAAACTTCAGATGGCAGCAGTGATTGTGATTTTTCCCCTCTCCCCTTTCCTTTGGAAGGAATGACTCAGACACCTCATGAACAGGTCAAGTGTTGACGTTTTTTCATTATGTGCATTTTGATGGATTGACATTAAAGGAATGTGAAGTTTTCTTTTGCTGTCTTCAAAATTCTTCCCCCGCCCCCAAATAATTTTAATTTGTCAAGAGCATAACTTTGGATTTGTTTTTGGAGAGAGAGACACAGTACATTTCTAATTTGAATAAGATTAAATCTATTTTCAAGGAAAACGTTTTGACTTCAGAATTGAATTCTGCTGTGTATGTGGCTACACTTCGGGGATATAAGGGCAGAGTAAATCTCAGACTGCAGCTTCCAAAAGCCTGATGACCTTCAAGTTCTCCTGTTTTTAGCACCCCATCAGTGCTGTACAGGTAAAATGGAAGTGTTGAAGAACCAACACATTCTTTGCCCTGTTAGGGAGTGGGTAAGAAGGTCATAGTAGCAATCATCTAAGTATGGTAAGCAGATAAAAACTTTTTGATTTTCATGTCCTATAGTTTTCTGCTCATATTTATCACTGAAGTTGTTTCAGAGCACATGTCTTATAGGCTTCTCCAGCTGCCATAACAAAATATCATAGAATGGGTAGCTCAATAATCAAAAATTTATTTCTGGAGGCTAGAAGTCCAAAGTCAAGTTTCCAGCCAGTTCATTTTCCGGTGAGAGCCCTCTTCCTGACTTGCAGATGGCCACCTTCTCACTGTGTTCTTACATGGCCTTTCTTCAGTACATGTGCCCAGAGAGGGAAAGAATTGGCTCTCTGGTGTCTCTTCTTATAAGGGCACTAATCTTATCTGATCATGGGCCCACTCTTATGACCTCATTTACCCTTAATTACTTTTTCAGAGGCCCCATCTCCAAAGAGGCACACTAGATTTAGAGCTTCAATGTATGAATTTTTTTCGTGGGGGGAGGGTGGTACACAAACATTTAGTCCATAACAGAGCATCTTACAGCTTATAAATTAATCCCCATGTAATGAATTTTAAATCTCAACTCTAGTACTCAGGGGATATGGTCTGGACATCAGAACACCTAGGATTGAGTCCTATCTTCACCTCTTCCCACATCAGGGCAAGATACGTTATTGAGCAGCTCTGCTTCTGAGGTTCTAGGATCTAGTTTGTGTTCATGAATAAAAATTACAGACAGAATCTTGTACCAAAACAGCCTGTGACCCTCAAATCAGTATCAGTCCTATCATAAAAGTACTAAGAACAGCTGAAAAAAACAGACCTCTACCCACTCAGCTCTCCATTACCAAGCATCTGGGGAGCGTCCATCTTTCAGCATTTGGTAGTTATAGGGAAACAGTTCTTGCAGTTATGACTTCTGGAATGGGGTCCCCTCACTTCTCAACTCCCTTCCTCTACCTCCAAACACACCCTCTATCCTGTTCTTGGCCAGTGTCACATCTTGTTCACAAGGCTAAAGAAGTAAGCCCCTTTTACCTGGTATCTCAGGAGGCACTGGCCCTCTGACTCTGCAAATTACTAGTGTGCTGCTCTTGCTGGTCTCCGTCCTCCTTCCTCTCTGTGATTCCTACCATCTTTGTTCTCAGAATTATCCAAATCCATATTGCCTGATATCTCCTAGGGAAACAAGCATTCTTTGGTGTGCACAGTGAGTTAACTGACAAACATATTTAATGGAGCAAATAAACACATGCACCTGGATTGGACAGCTTTATGTAGGTGCAGAGTAATCTAGGAGAAGGATATATTTATTAGTTATGACTTTCTTAGCTATGGCGTTAGAAGCATAACTCAAACTGGATTAAGAAAAACTACTACTACTACTTACTACTGCTGCTGCTGCTATTGCTACTACTACTACTAACAATAAATACTTGGCTCATAAAACTTGAAAAACAGCAATGGCCATAGCCACAGGCTTGATTATATCTAATGACTCAAGCTCAGGTTCCCTCCCTAATCATTTCCCCTCTCGTCTTACCTTCTCTTTGTAATGGTCTCATTCTTCTAGGCCACTCCATGTACCAGGGGACATGGCCACCCTAGCAGTTCTGGGGTAATAGTTAATAATTTGTGATCTTAGAGATTTGTCACCCAGTATTTCCTAAGCTAAAAATATTGGGAGTTTCCTAGTCATTTAAATGAAGAACCTTATTTTTGGCAGTTTCCTTTTCAGGGTTATGTGAGGACAGTGTGGAGTATTCTGCAGGGCTGGCTACATGGGAACAATGGGGAGTTACTTCTGAAAAATAGATTCCACTGGCTGCCTTCTGAGGAAGTTATTAAACATCATGACCATGAACAATTTAATACTCAAGTCATTTTTGTTCACTCAGTGGGCCAAATTATCACGAACGAAGATTATATGATTATAGATGATGTTTTTAATGGTTTTAATAATTTGCATCCCAAGATCTGAGGCCTACATATTAAATACAGATTTGTTGAGTGAACTTTGTAGTTTTATTACATAGTATGATAAAACAAAGTTACTGGTATGATCCTGAAATTAATACTCCAATTTGGTTCTGGTTGTCTAGTCAGCAGCATCAAGGCCGGACACCTCTGTGCTTCTATAGGATGTTAACAATGTCTCATGAATAAAAGGGTTCCAGCGTCAGTGTACTTAGGAACCACTAGGTTAAATGGGTCTTATTACCGTAGAATTGACACAATGACACACAATGACAGCATATGCTGTAAATCACTCGAGAGGAGAGGTGGCCACTTATTACATAGAAACCACAGAATGCTTTCTTTAGAGCATCTCATAGCACTTGTGTTCCACAGGACACACCTGAGGAAAGGTTGACCTGATGGTTTATTTATTTATTTTTTAAATTAAAACATTAATGTCAGTTTTAAGGGTGAGAATTAGTGTTTACTGACCTTGTCGCACAAGCAGGCATTTGACTAAAGACAACTTTGCATTTCAGGTGAAATATCAGAATGTCAGCACTGGCAGGAACCACAGAAATAACAAGATCCTGTGGTTGTTACGTAAGGGATTGCATCTGAACCACCTGAGGATTCTAATATCATAATTTTGTGACTGAATATCTAGGTCATTCTGCCATCTGGTCTCTCACCCCATTCAAGTGACTAGGCCATTTTGCAGTTTAAACTCTGACTCTGTCTACCTGACCAACTGCATTCCTTGAATTGTCTGTTTTACCACAAAGCTTGTTTTACCAGTTTATTTTACAGACCCCAAGGGAAACTGAGTTGGGCCATCCTTGCGCCCCATCCCCCTCTCCTGCTGACCATGTCTTAGGACTCCGACTGTTGGCCAAATCCCATGACTAAATACTGACCATGAGTCAACTGAAACTACTCATTTTTCCTATCTCGCAACCGCACTTTCTGACGGCTGAGTAGCACACCCTTGAGAGTCCAGTTGCCCCGACCAGTCAGATGAATGATGTAAATTTATGGTCTTGTTTCCCTAGCAACCCATCCCTTTGACTCTCGCTTTTAAATTCCTTCCCTTATTCTTCTCACCTTAGAGCCTGTCTTTGGTTCATGCGGAAGGCTACGTTCTCTGATTTGCAAATCCTATCAGCAAAAAGTTCTTTTTAATTACTCAGAATTAAATGGAACTTTCATTTACATACTTGAAGAACTTCAAAAAATGTGGCTAGACACTCTGTACTCAACAGGCCAAAAGCAGCAGAGAGCTCAGCAAGAAGGACTCAGAAATGCCCAATGAATCTGGAAAACAGAGTCCCTGGTGAACTTGACAAGAACAATTCGAGTAGATTTTTAAGGGCAAAAGCCAGTTTACAGTAGGTTAAAGAAAGAAAGGGAAGCGTGGAAAACCTTTCAACGTTATATTCATTTATTCATCCCAATGTGCAGTGGGTGACTACTGGAGTGTACTTGGCAGTTGGATCTAAAGGGAAGGACAGAAAGAGAAGTTAAGGCTTTTTAAGTTTTCCCAAGTACTTAGAGTTCTATTGGTATACAAAGCATTTAGTGTTGTGCTTTACATATATGATAGAGTAGAAATTACTGCAAACAATGAACAGAAGGTGAATTAAGTGATAGATAGATATTCAGTACATAACAAGTCTTAATAAGTAAATATCGCCATGGTGGTGACAGCCATTCGGGATTTGCCACAGTGGATTTCTTCTTCATTCAAGGTCACCCATTCCCTGTGTATCGCCATGGTGGTGACAGCCATTCGGGATTTGCCCACAGTGGATAATTTCTTCTTCATTCAAGGTCAACCATTCCCTGTAGCTAAAGATTAGAGTCCTGAGGTCATTTGGGCATTTCTGCAGCATCAAATGGGAGTTTCTCAAAATGAAAGTCCCTCCACTTTGCGTACAGCGTCTGCGCTCCAGTTGCAATATCCTCCACCACAAAACTTTCGATTTTTATAAATGGAATCTCAAACGTCTTATACTTCACATGGATTCCCCAGTCATGGCAGCAGTCTTGTCTGGCACAGAATATCTTTGCTTTCTTCTCGAAACTCCCAAAATTCTTTGGTTTGGGGTGCAATTTACTCACAAAGCACTTCTTGAAAGCATCTCCCACCACAGTGTAATGGCAGTCCTGCAGATGAAGGGATCAAATCATGTGCAAAACAGAACATTAGAATCAGTACATAACTGTTTAAAAAAAAAACAAAACTCCACAATAATCTGAGACGAAGAGCAGGTGGGAGCCCACTTATTTTATAGATGGAGAAAGAAGGGAATATGGATTCACCCCAAGGTCAGTGAAGAATTCTTACAGCCTGACTCTCAATTACATGGGTGTAGATGGAAGGGCAAGTGAGGTGATAGGGGACATCTCCTGAAGAGGAGGAGTAAGAAGTTTCTAGGCAACATAGCTTCTTAAAGTAGCTACTCTTTATTAATTCAGAAACAAAAAGGGTATTTGTTTGGAGATCTGTGAAGGCTGAGTTCACCAGTGGCCTGACAGGCATAACCCAAAAGATAGAGCAAAGAACAACACAGGGTCACTGTGGCTCTGAACAGGGTCAAGGATCGATATGTCCACAGGCTCCACCCACAGTCGGCTTTAGAGCAAACCTGAAAAGAAGTCCACACTGCACAGAACAAATGCAGATCAAATATACCAGTCCCTCAGGAAAACTTACAGTCTAAAAGGGCTATTTCCGACAGAAAAATCGCCCAAATTGGATTTAAAGAAACAGACTCTAAAAGGTCTGGGAACTTGCTAGTATCATCCCTAATATACTTTCAGCTTTCTGAAGACCAAACAGAACCCTGAAATAATAACTCATCGTCTGAACCAGCCCACACACTCCACCTGCCCCTCCATCTGCAGCGGTAGAGTTACATCCAGTTTTTGTCTTTGGAGACTTTTCTAACCCTTATCTAAAAGTTTAAAGAAAATAAAATGTATGGAAGGCTAACCTGCAGATGTCATGTTCTGAAAATTAGGAGATATTTTGTTTTCACTATATAAGTGATCCATATTCCAAAAAGAAAGTTTGGAAAATATTTTAAAAATCATGGAATATCACTATGAAATATGAATATATTTTAGTATATTTCCTTTAATCTTTTTTCTGTACAAAGTGTTTTGATTTATGTTGGTGGTGGTGATGGTGGTATTGTTGATATTACTTCACACAGCTATATTCACATAACATATTTACAATTTTGTATCCTGGTTATTTTTTCCACTTTACCATTAGTTTGTAAGGAGTTTTTCATTATACTATATAAGCTTCACAATCATTTTGTTTAATACACTTTACTTTGGAATAATTTTAGATTTACAAATAAGTTGCAAATATAGTCCAGAGAATTCCTGTATACCCTTCACCCAGATTCCTTTAATGCTAACATCTTACATACCATAGTACATTTGTCAAAACTGAGAAATTAATATCAGCACATTACTATTAGCTAAACTACAGATTTTACCACTTTTTCCAGGAATACCCTTTATCTGGTCTAGGATCTAATCCAGGAAACCACACTACATTTAGCAAACCATTATTTTTAATGGCTACATAATATTTAATTAAGTGGCTGTGCAGCAATTTTTAAAAACAATTTCTTTATTATTTAACATTAAGGGTTTCTTTTTAACTTTTCAGCTTTTGTAAAATACATGTACCATGACTATGTTAACAGGAATAACAGTATTCTTAGTATAAATACCTTACTGATAGTAAGCTTTAATTAGTGCTAAAAAATGATTCAGTGCTCTCTGTGAAAATGGCTGCTTACCTCAACCACCCTTATATCAGCTGTATAACAAGCAAAGGCTTTGCACTTTCTGCAGAGAAGTTTTTTATTTTCCTTATCAAGTATAGGTTTTACTTTACTTTGACTATCCCTGATGAATTTTTCATGAATCTGAATCTGGCGAACCTACATGAGAAAAAACAACACGTCATAAATGTGATTTGAGTATAACTAGGATATATGTAATCATTCATTCTTTATTTACATACAACTTCCATGAACATATCTGACTTTGTTTATAAAAATCCCACTACCTTCTTTGTTAGTCAATGTTTAACTGTGGCCTCCACTTAGTCTTTTAATTTCCTCATCAAAGATGCCCATAAAAGCACTAAAAATGTTTGTAAACTAGTTATATGAACCATGCTTTCTACTTTAATAGCTGATAAAACTTAAAACATCCTTCACAAATAGACACATGATATGAAATGACTGTTTCAGACATAATTACAACCACTTCTAGGGCATAAACCCATTGAATGGAACGGCAGGCATAAAATCTTTTTCTCTCTCCCATTCTGACCACAGAGACTATTGCTGAATTACAGTAAAGTTAAATGTATGTCTAGTATGACTGCATTCTATTTCAAAATTTAGTCTTTGGCTAAGTACAACTAAGAATGCTGGACATTATATTTAAAATAAACATAAAACGATTCTAAAGGGTGGAGAGTGAAAAGCAGACCAGCTAGGAACCTCAGGACTCTAGGAACAACATGGTAGTAAGTTTTCTGGGTTTTATTTTCATCTCATATATCCCAGATTAGAGATGAAGAAGCTGGCAACCAGAAATGCCTATGGGCACAGATAAAAAAAAAAGTCTCAACAAAGGCCTACTCTCTCTACCAAAGGGCCAGGAAAGGGAAGCCTAGAAAGACAGAACACTTTTAACAGTAACTATTCTACTGTAGCCAAATACCACAGAAACAAAACAAAACAAAACAAAAAACAAATAAAACCATGATCGAACCCCCACTCACACCAGCAAAAGATGAGTGGGGAACCTGGATTTCCACCTTGCAAGACTATAACAAAGCACCCCAACACTCACATCTGGCAGTGTCAGAAAGGGCCAAATAGGGAGCCAGGGCCGTCAGCCCTGCTGAATGGTAGTCCCCCTCGTCTGTGGTGTCAGTGGAGACAATGTGGGGAACTGGAACTGCCACCTCCACCCAGCAATGATAAGGAGCCTTGCCCTCGCTGGCTTAGCAAGTAACCTAGACTTCTACCTCCACCTGGCAGTGATGAGACAGTATCCTCACTTCTTCCCCAGAGTCTCATAATATGAAAATGTCTGAGTTTTGATAAAAAAAAAATCACTCTTCATATCAAAAACCGAAAGATTTCAAACTGAATTTTAAAAAGACAACCAATAGGAAGACAGAGATGTTAGAATTATCTAACATAACAAGATTTTAAGCAGCCACAGTAAAAGTGCTTCAGTGAGCATTCATAAACACTTTTGAAACATGAACAAATGTAAAGGCTCAACAAAGAGACAGAAGATATAAAGAAGAACCAAATGGAAATTTTAAAACTGGAAGATGCAATAACCAAAATAAAAAGCTCAGTGGATGAGCTCAATGACAGAATGGAGGGGACAAGAGAAAGAATCAACCTGAACAAGAGAAAGAAAATGGACTGAAAAAAATAATAAACGGGACCTCAAAGACCTTTAGGACTATTAAAAAAGATTTAACATTCATGTCCTTGAAGGAGAAAAGAGAGCAGAACTTTAAAAATACTGGGATAAATGATGGCTGAACATTTCCCAAATTGAACATAATATAATGTAAACTTACAGATTCAAAAAGCTAAACAAATACCTATTAGGTTAAACCAAAGAAATCCACACCAAGATACATCATAATTAAACTTCTGAAAAACTAAAGACAAAAGAAAAAATCTTAGAAGCAGCCAGAAAAAAAATAATAACATCTTACCTAGAGAAGAAAAACAATCTGAATGACAGCAAATTTCTCATCAGAGACCATGGAGGCCAGAACGAAGTGACACAATATTTTTCAAATGCTGAAAGAAAAACCTCAACCTGGACTCCTATACCCAGCAATACATCTTGCAAAAATAAAGAAGAATCAAGATATTCTGAGATGAAGGGAAACTAAAAAAATTTGTTCATCCGCAGAACTTCCTTAAAAGAATGGCAAAAAGTTTTCTAAACAAAAGGAAATGTAAAAGAAGAAATCTTGAAACATCATAAAGGAAGAACTTGGTGATTTCCACAATATCAGCTGTAAAAGGATCGACCCTGGGAGGTAACATGACCTTAGGCCACCTGGTACAGGTTAAATACTCATCAGTGTTATCCTCGGTCCATTAGGCTAGTCTTAGGCTGAGAACCATGAAAATGTTAACAATAGTGGTTTCTACTTTAGTATTGCACAGGGCAATCACCATTCAACAGTTATTTTTTCAGAAATATCATAGCTATTTTTACCTATTTATTCTTCTATATAAACTCTGAAACTATTTTATCAAGTTGAAAATATTTATACGTTGATTCTGGGGTTGCGATAAACTTATAAGTGAGTTTAGAGTGAAGGCTCATCTTTAAAATATTTAGTCAGTCCACTCAAGAGCATAGCATTTCTTTCCTTCTGTCTTCATTTACCCCTTGTCTCTCAATAGAAGTTTTTTTTTTTACCAGCTAAGTTTTCTTATGTGTATATGTGTGTGTGTGTGTATATGTATACACATATATATAATAATACATATATATAATAATTATAACCATATATGAGATAAAAATTATAACCATATATGAGATAATAATTATAACCATAATATATATTATTAATTTCAAGTATACAGTACATTGGCAAGACATTTATATAGTTTATGAAATGATCCCTCTGATTACTCGATCTTCCCTCTGGCTCTCTACATGGCCATTACCTTACTGCTGTCTGCATTCCCTGTGCTGTGCTCCCCATCTCAGTAGAAGTTTTATAGTCATCTTTATTTATGCTTCAGACATTTCTGATTAGGCCAGTAGGGGCAGTAATTAAACAGATCGGTTCTGCCAGCTCCACCCCTGTGATCTCCTGACGCTTGATCTCCTCCTGCCTCAGTTTCCCTCCTATAAAATGATATAATAAGAGGCTCTGCTGCAGGGCTCGGTGGAGAGCCCATGCTCTGCATGTGTAAGCTGCAATTATTATTGTCACCATGAGTGGAAACCTCCCTCCCCTTATATGTCCTAACTAGTTACTGATCGTTCACAGAGAATCCATTGAGCTCAAAAGCATTTCAAATTCAAATAAAGTTTGATTTAAACAAATAAATGTAGTCCTGGAATGTAGGCTAGGAGAACAATCAAAGCATGACTTTTCCAAACCCTACTTTCTGCCTCATTCCACCTGAAATTATCTTCATGGTTTTTATAAGGAATGTTTACGCCTCCTGTTTTCAATTCAGTTTTTCACTGCTGTAAAACTGTTATATTACGTGTACTTATTTCTATTTCTGTTACCATTATTTCCTTTAGATAAATTTCTGAAAGCGAAACTCCTGGACTACATGGTGAACATTTCCCTATGAATAATTTTAATTTCCTTTTCTCATATATGATTTTAATTATTCAGACAGGCTGGGGGATGGGGGAAATGTGATAGGAAAGAGGGTAAAAATATAAACTCGCCCTCTGGGCATCTAATTTTTAAAAAATTCACTTATATCCAATGATATTCAATTATACACTAAATTCAATTAAATAATAATCCCAAACATTTTAAATGTTTCTATAGGCAATAAATCCCAGTAAGTTAAAACTAATACTGCTATGCTGAAAACTAACTCAGTAACTGAGTAAAGAGGCTTAACCTATGTCACAAATGAAATCTGGAGCACACTGCTTCCCTGCTCCAAGCAGCAGCATTTCCATGCACTAAGGTGGATAAACCAAAACTATGAAACCCTGATTGTGCATGGTCATGGGTACACACCATGTTTGAAATTCTTTGGTCAAAATGAACTTCCTTTCACCCCCATATCTTATTCTCTACTCCATGACGAAGGAAAGTAGGCTTCCTCATTGCAATTCCCGATTGACCCTTCACAACTGGAACTGTGAAAAATACCTTTGTACCTTATTCCTCCGGAATGAAATACTACTGAATCCTGAAGCCTTCATCATGGAAATCAGTCCTTAGTTAACTCTGGACCATCTAGAGGTTAAAATGGCTGCAGAGTCACCAGAGATTCCCCCAGGGACCACAGTGTTCTAAGGAAGGTTGGCCACACGCAGCCAACGGATGACGCAGTTGTGGGGCTAGGAAAGAAAGCGTACAGTCTCCCTCCCCACTTACTCAAAGACTGCCCTAAGGAGCTCCAAACTCCCTTCCCTGTTTAATGCAAGTTCTTCCTCCCATTACAGCCCATATGCAGGGACCATGGTGCTCAGATCCAACACCCAAGCCCTTATCAAAACGCCACAGAAAAGGGTCTCACCCCAGGATCCAGAATTCCTTTTAGTTTTTAGTTTTAAGAATGTAAGGTTTTCCCTACCTTATTATACTTCTACTAAGTCTCTGAAAGCAAAGCCTTCCTCTTTTATCATTTATGATAGGACAGAAATGACACCAAGACTCCGAGCTCCTGGCTGCCACATAATTACCAGCTAACCAGTGACTCCCAGCTATACTTGTTCTGGGCTTCCTCTCATCCTTTACCATCTCTGCCCATTTTCTATTTATGGGTATTAGGGGAATCCCAAATGCTATTCCATAGCCTAACTCAACAGATGTGTAACCCGTTTTCTCCTCACTCTACTCCTTGATCTGGTGTGCTGACTACCAAAGAATGTTTATGCCTGGATCCAGCCTCTATCTTCCTCGATAGCTTTTTACTCTATTGCTTCTGCCACATGAGTCTAAGTAGCTTGTTACCCTAAAGGGGATAAAACTCATGCCATGGGGATTAAAGCTAATATGGTTTTAAAGCCTTTACTGGTAACATCCCCACCAGCCTACAAAATGGGGAGGTGGCTCAGTGAAAAACTTCTATCCTTTACTAAAATTAAGGAGAAAAATTAAGAGAAACTAAAGAATTTCCTTTCTCACGAAAACGTGGAAGAAGGGCTTTTAAATATTTTAGTCTCCAAACTTCAGGAAGAAATGTTTTTTAAAATGAGTAAAACACTGACATAAAGTTGTATTTTTGTCCTAAAAATGGTGTTGATTTGCTTTACATCACTGTTTCTCAATACTTTTTGAGCATAGGTATTATAACTTTTTAAAATTATGGACACTATGAAATTGGCCTACTGGATTGTAAGATTCACCTTTATGAAGTTAAAGTATAGCCCCATGCCTCTGTCCAACAATAAGTCTCATTTTTCGAGCACTTATTTTACACCAGGCACTGCGCTAAGCAACACATACATCTCATCCTATCCCCAAAACTGCCCTGTGAGTTAAATACCATTACTGTTCCAACTTTCCAAATAAGGAGACTGACAATTTAAAAGACACACCTTGTAAGTGGCAAAATTAGTATTGGAACAACTAATTCCAATGTTAAAGCTTAAACTCTCTCCCAGCCTCGCAGTAGTCAAGGTTTCCAGAGATTCAGAGATGAAAATCTTTGCAGAGTCTGGAGAAAGTGTGGGTGTGCCTGCACGTGTGGGCATGTTCATGCATACATGTGTGTATGTGCACGCACACATGCCTGTGTGTCTGTGTGTGTCTTTTTTTCACCGATTTGGTTCCATGCTTCAGTGTTATAAAGGAAATGATAATAACATGTAGTCGCTACCAAGAGGCTGAACCGAACAGGCGTGTCACTCCAAGGTACACATTATTACCCATAGCTACAATGAAGCATTCCGACACCTTCACAGTACAAAGGGAGCTTTTTTTTTTTGAGGACTCCAGATGTTGGAAAGAGAGAGTATTGTGGAAAAGATTAAGAAGGGCTCTGTCCTGCAGTGTTAGGGTGCTGTTCTCAAGATGAATTGCCAACTTAAGAGCAATTCTAGGTCAGTTGGCCTTTTAGCTCTAAAAACATAACTTTAGATATTAGCATTAATAAAATATATTTTAATCTTATTGAGACTTAAAAACAGAAATGAATTTGATGTTCACTGCAGATAAATTTTTAAGATTAAACTTACTGTTCTAATACAACAAACACTCAGAGCCATCTGATAAAATGTACCAACCATGCTCATGCTCCCTGTTTGTTACTTATGGTCAGATTCTAAAAGAGTAGCACAGATGGAAAGACTTACCTTTTCTTTAAATACTGCTTCATCCCATGTCTGAAGTCTTAAAATGGAGTCATTCATCATTTTTTCTTTGTATATGTTTATTTTTTCTTTTTCAATTACATCAGAATTACTAGTCAGAAGGAAGCACTTGCTACCTCTTGCTCTTCCTCTGCCTGTCAGAAAACAAATATTTTATTTGGTGTCTTTGATGTAAAACTCTGATAAATCTGATAATAGGTAAGCAAAGGAATGGGGTGTCCCTAAAATTTAACTTTGGTCACTTAATCCCACTTTCTAGGGAAGCTAAGCTGTTAGAGCACGGACTCATATACAGGTGTGCACCTGTGCATTAAACATGTAGATAAACTAGGAGCCCACCTTAGACTGGTTTCCTTGGGGTCTCCACGGTGCAGTGTGATCAGCCAGACATATTATCAGAAACACTGCTTTAAAACAATCAGACACAAACCCTCAGGCTGACACTGTGAGGGCTCTAAGATAAATAATAAACAGATCCTTTCTAGCAAATGGGGATATGAGATATGTTCACAACCACCAGAATATAGGTAGAAAATGAGAAGTGCTGACAGATAGATATAAAAGGTTATGGACATTCAAAAGAGAGATTCTTTCCAGAATCAGGAGAATTAGGGATAGGTGATAAGGAGGCAGGGGAAGAGGTAAAATGAAAATCATCCTTCAACAAGGGAAAAATGAAGTCAGGTTGGCTGAAGCGAATAACGAATAAAGGGGAAAATGGGAAATAAGGCTGGAAAGATAAGTGGGTGCTGGATTTGAAAACTCTTTAACATCAAGTAAATTGGGGAACCACTGGAGTTTCTACATAGGGAAGTGACATGCTCAGGAAAGGTAATGTGGCAGCTGTTGTTAAGGAAACTGAAAAAAGGGAGACTAGTAAAGTGACTATCTAGTTTGAGTGGGACAGACAAGCTCCTTGGAGTATCTCTTCTGGAATACAGGGAGCCCATTGGCAGCACAAGCATGAAAGGCCCACACGCTGACTGCCAAAGCCTCAATCCAAATGAGAATTATCCTTCCATAAATATATCAGTCAATGTTGGTCAAATATACAGTATTCATTGTGAACAAGAATTCAAATAGGGTATATGTTAGTGGACAAAACTGTGGCCACCCAATCCTGATTAAGTAAGCCACCTTTAGGGCCAGTGATACCACAGGCCACTGTACCATAAGTCATACACCCGAGCATGGCTCAGTAAAGGAGAAAGGCTGAAGTGGCAGACATTCACAAATCAGACAAATCAGCAGCTACTTAATAATGGCATCGAAGCTTCTCTCACCTCTGGTTTGGATCATTTTGATGACATTGCCCACGTACTCATACAAGATGACCAGATTGCACTGAGCAATGTCAATGCCTTCATCAGCAACTGAGGTGGCAATCAGAATCTTGTTGTCTCCACTGGTTTTGAATGTATGCAATACATCTTTTTGTGCTGGGAGGGTCATTCCTGTGTCAAGGTCAGAAGGTATTATACAACTTATCAAAGAGGGAATTTTACTCTTAAAAAAATAGCTATTAATTATGGAATACTTATTACATGCCAAGTGATACTGTGATAAGTGCTTTATATTCATGATTTCTCAACATGCTAGGCAGTAGGGCCTATTGCTATCTTTATTCTAAGGAGGACATTTAGGGTGGTGACAACTTAGACTCTGCCACAAGACTGCCAGAGTTCAAATTCCAGCTGTGGTGCTTACTAGCTGTGTGGCTTTATTCATGTTGCTTCAAAACAAATATATATACATATATATATTTTTTTTTTTGCAAAAATATTAACTAATCATAATGCCTCTGCATGTGTATGGGAGTTAACAATTGACAAAACATTTTCAAATCTACTTCCTTATTGAAACTTCACAAAGCCCTCTTAGGTTGATGTGGTTAAGTGTTATAATTTCCCTTTGTAGATGAAGACCTTGAGGTTTTAGAAGTATGGTAAACTGACAGTATAGTTCGCAGCAGAACCGGACCTTGAATTTTTAAGTCTAGGACCCTAAAAGGTTGCAGTTCTCAGCCACTGTTATACTAAGGGGAGAAAGAATTTCAGTGATCTCCACCTCAGAGTTAATAGAATTTATGAAAGCTCCATTTCTTCCCTAGTATATTGGCAGCTAAAATCTTGTGATATATTTTGTTAGAGTTTCCTTTCACCATCATTTTCTACTGAACAATGAGCATGCCCAAGACAGACACCACACTTCATTAATTTCTGAACCTATTCATCCACTTGTTCCTCAAATATTTATTCAACATTATGGTTTGTCAAATAAGGATACGGTGGTTAGAGGTCCACTTTTATGAATAAGGAGCTCATAGTCTGTGGAAGAAGGATATAATAAGAAGCTCTAACTCAATGTGATGAGCAATGAAATGGAGACAGAACTGGATACTGTGGGAATGTGGAGGTGGCTGGGAAAGGAGGCACAATGACTGGCACAGAGTAAGTTCTAAATAAATGTGGATGGGTGGATGAATAAATGAACGAACAAATTTTTAAAAGTTTTCTGAATGCTTATTTGGGGGGAAATAACAAAGTTGAAAAATCAAATTGGACTCATGTTGTAGGACCTCATTCAGTAAGCCAAATTAACAAAATCTGAATTTGCTTTTTAGATTCATGAAATTTAAAATTTGTATAAAGGGAAAGTGCCAGGGTGATGACTGAGGACTGACAGGGTGGGGAATGCTTATGATAAACAACACTAAATAGGAGGAGCAGAGTGAGGACCCGTCATTGCTGGTCACTGGGGCGTGGGCAGCACAGCTGAGCATGTCAGGTGAGAGCTGGCCGCTGAGGACCCTCTTGGATAATAACAGAGGCAGCTTTACCTTGCTTGATCTCAGGATTGTCTGCTTAAACTATTTTTTAAATTGTAAAATATATAATGCATGCAATATCATCTATGGTTTAAAGACTAACAATCAAATAGAGACAGAACATTTCTATTTCCAGTTAATCTATTTCCAGTTTGAGCACAAGAGTGACATGCTCAAACAACATTTGAAAAAATAACTTTGTTTTTTTCTGTAAGACATAGGGGAGGAGGCAATGTCTACAAGTTTTTGCCATTTGAGCCTTGTGATAGCTTTTTGATATGTCAACTTGACTGGGCTGAATTAGTTATCAGTTATTCATTTAGGTACTTCTATGAATGGAATTGGTAGCTGTAATTAAAGTTCCTAATCAGTTGACATTAAGTTACTCAAAAGGGGTTTCACTCTAGGTGGGCCTGACCCAGTCAAGTAAGCCCTTTAAAAAAGAGCTTAGGCATTTCCTGAGCTCAGAGACTCCAAACAGCTCATGCCTGTGGGGTTCCAGCCTGCTCCTGACCACCTACCCTACAGACTTCAGACTTGCTTTGCCACTTCAATTGTGAATGTCAGTTCCCTGTAATAAATCCGTGTGTATATACATATATGTGTATGTAAATATGCATATATGTGTGTATGTATAGTCTCTTACTGGTTTTACTTCTCTGGTTGAACCTTGATTGATACTGGAATTAAAAAAGAATTTTAATATATCCTATATATTCTTATATATAGTCTACTATATATAAATACCTATGTTCTGTTTTGTTCTGCCACGTCCAGTCAATATGCCAGGTTTTAGAAAGCTGAGTTTAGGATTTTCTTCTATCCATTTCTTTAAAGCCTGAAAATGAAAAGCAGTTATCAGTTGGACACTATTTGTATGCCATTTGTATTAATTCAATATTGAAATATATTCAAGAAGAAAAAAATTTTAAGCTAGTACACAGTTTTTAGACCGACAAACTTGAGAACAAAAACTTCTTGAAATTGAATTCTATGCAATAATTAACCATAAGATATAAATCTTTGTGATATGATATAGTTTAATCTCTGAGATTATTTTTCAAATTAAAAAAAGCATAGTTCAGAATAGTGGGTATGTAGAACTAGTAAGAGAGTTTAGCAAGAGCTTAGCACACAAGATCAATATACAGAAATCAGTTCTATTTCTATATATCAGCAACAACAAAAAAGGTTAAAATCACCATTTACAACAGCATTAAAAAATTAATACTTAGGTATAAGTCTAACAAAATATGTGCTACATCCGTATAGTGTAAATAACAAAACAGTGATAAAAGGAACCAAAGATGTGGCAGGTGGCCTCTAAAAGAGCCCTCAATGAGCTCCACCTTCTGGTATTCAGATCCTCGTGTCCCCTCCCCCCAAGTGTGAACTGAACTCACTGACTTGTTTCTAATGAATAAAATATGACAAACATGATGGGCTATCACTTCCGAGCTGAAGTTATAAAATGATGGTGACCTCCATTATCAGGCACTCTCTCTCAGTCTCTCTTGGATCACTCACTTTAGGGGAGCCAGCTGCCGCGCTGTGAGGCAGCCCTGTGGAGAGGCCCACATGAATGAGCTTGGAAGCACATCTTCTGAGATCCGCCAACAGCCATCTAAGTGAGGCCGAAAGCTGATTCTCCCAAGTTAAGCCTTAAGATGACGGCAGCCATGGCCAACACTTGATTGCAGTCTCATGAAAGACCCTCAGCCAGAAACACCCAGTTAAGATTTTCCAGCTTCCTGACCCATAGATATTGTAAGATAATAGATGTTTGTTGTTTCCAGCCACTAAGTTTTTGGGCAATTTGTTATCAGCAATAGGAAACCAATACCGAAATCCTATATAAATGAAGAGATATATAATCTATAGTTATGGCTGAAGACCTGATATAATTAAGATGTCATTTCTCCCCAATTTTATTTAAAGATTCAATGCAATCCCAAAAGAAATCCCAGCATATTTTTTCATAGATGTGGACGAACCGATTCTAAAATATAAATGGAAAGGCAAAGGACGATAGCTAAAACAATTGTGAAGAAAAGAAAAAGGTTGGAGGACTCATGCCACCTGATTTCAAGACTCATTATAAAGCTACAGTAGTCAAGACAGTGTGGGATGAGTGAAAGGAGAGATGTATAGATAAATAGAACAGAATGGAGAATACAGAGATACAGCCACAGAGATACAATCAGCTGATTTTTGAAAAAGTTACAAAAGCAATTCAATAGAAAAAGGATAGTCTTCTCAACAACAGTGCTGAAATGACTGGATGTCCACATACAAAAAGAAAAAAAAAGCACCTCAACCCATACCTCAAAATGGACTGTTGACCTAAATGTAAATTGTAAAACTGTAAAACTCGAGAAGATAACAGAGAGAAAACCTTCATGTGCATGGGTAAGCAAAGGGCTTTCAGATACAATACCAAAAGCACAATCCACACCAAAAAACTGATTAACTGGACTTCGTCAAAAGTTAAAACTTTCAATCTGGAACAAGTACTGTTAAGAGAATGAGAAGACCAAAAGAAAAATGTTCAAATCACATTCCTGACAAAAGACGTTTTTGTCAGAATATAAAAAGAACTCTCAAAAACTCAACAATAACATGATAAACGATCCAATTAAACCAACTTTTGAAATGGGCAAAAGATGTGAAGACACTTCACCAAAGAAAATATATAGATGGATAATAAGTATATGCAAAATGCTAGACTATATTAGTCATTAGTGAAATGCAAATTAAAACCCTAGTGATATATCACCATATTTCCACAGAATGGCTAAAATATTTTTAATTGACAAAAATAATTTTTAAAAGTATTAAGTGATTGCTCTACAAGTATCAAGACTTATCATAAACTAATTAAGACAGTGAGGTATTAGCATAAGGATAAACTACCAAATAATCAGAATAGAATACAGAGCCTGGAAACAGCCCCACACATATATGGACACTTGTCTGCAAAGCTCTAAAGAAAGGACAGTCTTTTCAACAAAATGGTACTGAGTCAATTTGTTATCCACAAGGAGGAAGGAGCTTACATCCACAAGTGCTCTGGTTTTCACAAAGAGAATGGTTCTAGTCTCTGGGTTTAAGTGGTACTCCTCTTGCAAGACGAAGCAGAGGTCTTTGAGTTTAGGGTTCTCGTTGCTGGGATCCATGGAAATGCTTTCTAGTTCTTGCAGCTTTTCTGCAAAAGGAGAATGTTTTATAAATGGCTTATAAATTCTAGAAATTTAGAACACATTGTGACCTTTGGCTATCATTCAGTTAATCTCTCAATCTTTGACCAGAATTTTATAAGTAATAACCACCAATTTAATGTATACATTAAATACACCAATAAATGCACACATTTTACCCCCAGAAAGCTGGTTGTTCAGTGTTTAGTAGCACATCACTGGGTTACAAATATGTATAGCAAAATACTTCAGTGTAGGCCAAAAACAATTATTGATGGTAATTTTCTTTGGGAAAAAAATTGGGGTAGAGAGTAAGAAAGGCTTACTTTTCATTTAATATCTGCCTATATTTTTCTTAATATGAGGGATGTAGAATTATGAGCCATTTTGGCTTTTTTCCTTTTACAGAAGTATATATAAATTATAGCATTTTTAATATTGAAACACATTTAGGTATTTTTTTAACCGTTATAAAATTACTAAAAGTAAAACCAGAAAATCTTACTATCTATTAACCATTTCTATGAATGTAAACTTTGCAAATCTTGCTATTTTTCCTTCTTCAAAATAGGAACTAGTATAAGCAGCAGATTCTTTCCGTAAGTACCAGGTTTCACTGAAGCTCAACAGTCCTGCCATCTATAATATCTTCTTAAGCCCAGGACAACTTTCTGAGTATCACCATATGCTAAGCAAATAAAAGTATGCTGTCACTGGAGTCATCAGCCTACATAGCTTCCTCCTCTGGAAACACCACCCCACCTTCAAATCTCCGAGTGAGATCTTGCTCAGTCTCATCAAAGCCTGCTGTTCGGACATTACGGAAGAAGTCTTTCAAGTAATCCAGAGCATCTTTCATCCGTGCATGCTCACTGATGATGAGGGCATCATTAAATTTCTGTTTAAAATGAAAACTGAGTATTAACCAATGTTACCCTAATAAACTTAATAAAAAATAAAATAAAATAAAACGAAATGAAAACTGAGTTTCATTGTGTTTATAATGTCTACTGTGTTTGCTGTACTTAAGTTCAATTAGCTGTACTTATCATAGAATTAATTTTAAGAATAAACTTTTCTCAGATCTATTCCAAGTTATTTATAATGAACAGCCCCTAATTGGTGTTGTAATAAAACCTTTGAACCAAATACTGTTTTTAAAAAAAATCTCAATTAGCTAGAATCATTAATTAGGATCACTTCAGATTCTAGAATTCTACATTGGAAGAGAAAAAGAAAATTAAAAGAAAAATCCACGTCAAAGATCGAAAAACAAAAAAAGTGAAAGCAAATCAATTTCCACATCAACTTGACTCATAATTCAGGCATTCGATTTAATCTCTTTATACATGTAAAGCTATTACTGAATTATAATTGCACCTGTGTAGAATGATGGCACTGAATACCTACCTCAAATATTCGATTAAGTTCATTAAAATTCTATAAATGCATACTATTGAGTATGAAGAAAACATGCATCAGGACATGGCAACAGAAGCCACTTACTTAACTTTAAAGATGGCTGTCACCGGTCATGTATCTACAAAAATGCTCACCATCACCCAATTTTTTCTAATCATGTCAATCAATCATGGGAATGTTTGAGGCACAGCATAGAACCTCTGCCTTTGTGTCTGCTGCTTGTAGTATTGTTTCAGAAAACAAAGAAGATGCTGAATGGGATAACTTTTGGAGTTTGCTTCATTAAGAACCTTATAAAAGTTCCTAAGTAGGCTGTTGGGTCCAGGATGAAAAGTTGATGTTTCATCAGCTGCCACAGCACAGCTCCCAGTAGGTGCTACAACTAAAATATGCCTTTCCAAAGAAGCAACATACCCGCAAATGTGAAGTGTACAAAAACAGTGCTTTACAAATTCTGCTCTCTTCATCTTTATCTGGCATCTTTAACACCATGCACTTTTTCTGAACTGCAACAATCCACTGTTCATATTTCTGTGTGCCAAAATTCCTGTTTTGAATCTGAGAGAAGTTTCCTAGGGAAAAAAAAAAAGTTCTTGTTGTGCCTTAAGTCAGTCATTTAAGGTTCTAAGCACGCCTCGCCCTCTAGTTTTCCTTCTACACAGAGTAGTCCTCCCATAATAGTCTGTGTTTTCAGCGGTCTGGACTCTGTGCAGAGTGCTGGGGATGACAGGATGAGGAAGACACAGCCCTGTTCTCAAGCTGCTCAGTCTGTGTGTTACTCAAGGATCAGTTATACAGGGCTTCTCAGGAACAGCATAGCACAATAAAATTTACAGGCAAGAGTTACATTTCTGCATTAAAATGCTCTTCTTTTTTTAACAAGAGGAACAAAGGATGCTACCCAGACAAGGAGCATTGACATGTTTCTTTCCCAGCCTCAGTTACAAATGAGGAGGCAAACTAAAGGAATCAACAAGTATTAAGTGGACGTGGGTAGCTGTGGAAATAAGCTAAGCAATCTAAAATGAGCAGTTTACAGGATTTAGACTGGTGTAAAGGTGGAGGTAGGGTATTAGAGGTGGAAAGAATAAGAAGGTAGAAATTCACATCTCTCCATCCTTCTGCCACCTCCCCAATTCAGACCATGTCATAATGTTCTTGGTATTATCCAGGATGTATATATATGATGGCCTCCTAACTGAGCTCCCCACTTCTTGCCCAATTCCCTCCAATCCATTCCCCACTCAGCAGCTAGACAGAGTTTCCAAATTGGAGATGAAAAATTATGCTACTCCACTGCTTATGAGCCTTTATTGGATTCCTCTGTCCAAACTCTCACCCTGGCTCATAGGGTCCTCTGTGATCTAGCCTCCACCTGCTTCTGGTCTTCATCTTTAGACACTCCCCTTTCTACATTTCACAGGACTAATGGAAATTCCCATACTCTCTCTATTTATCTGGCCTTTGTACCTGAAGCTCTCTCTGCCTAAAACATACCTTACCATCACCACCCACCTACCCAATCTTGTTGCTTTATTTTTTTTATTACTTACAAATTTTGGCTTTACTGTTATACTGGAAATTCTATGAGGGAAGGGGCTGTGGCCCAGGGTCCATGCTATATTCCTATCACCAAGCACACTACCTAGCAGTGAATGAATGAATAAGTGAATGAACATGTTCAAGGAACTCAAGGAACTGCTAAATCAAATAGGGAAATAGTGGAAGGTAAAACTAGAGAGATTGAGATAAGCAGAACTAGATTGTGCAGTCATGGCTCAGACTGTCAAGTTAGAAACTTAAAGAGCTTTGCCTGTAAGGCAAAGGGATTCAAGCAGGATATTGACATAAAACTGGTATTTCAGAAAGACTAACCAGGAAATGGGGGGCTGTATGGAAAAGAGAGTGGAGGTAGGCAAACCAGCTAGAAGGTTGCTAGAATAAGTCTTAAATCAAGCTGTGAAAGAAAAGGAAAGAGAAAAGCAAAATGAGTAAGAGAAGGTTAGACACCATGAATTATCTAGCAGACATCAGAAAGTCAACATCTCCAAAACTCTAAATTCACCTTGTACCTGCCAAAGCTGCTCCTAGTTCTAGAACCAGTACCACCCACTGGCATACATACCGGTACCCAAGCCAGAAGCCTGAGGGAAGTCTTCTACTCCCTTCCCTCTCTCATATGCACCCAAATCCAGTTAGCCATTAAATCTGAACACTGCCTATTTGCAGCTCTTTGCACAAGCCTCCTCCCTTCACCAACCCATCTCAACTACCTCTGTCTAGCCCTCTTCCTTCACTGGTATTCTTATCATATCGCTAATCAGTTTAAGATCTTCGGTTGCTTGCCATTGCTTTTAGAATAAAATTCAAACTCAGCTTGGCCTTCCAGGCCCTTCCCTGTCTGCCCGCTGCCTCTCCCTTTAGTCTCACTCCTTTCTACCACTCACATGTTAGAATGATTGTGAAATGCTTGCGGTTCCTAAAACTCACTGGGTTCTCTCTTCCCTCTATGCTTAATTCCTTTTCGACCTCACTTGATTCTCTCTCCTTAACTTGGCTGACTTCAAGATTTGTCCTGGGGGAAGCCTTCCTTGCCAAAGTCCCCATGTGCTCCCACAGCATCCAGCGGGTAACCCTGTCTCATGGAAACCACTCACACCTGATTCTCATTATTTGTCTGGGAGTTCCCTGAGGGCGGGGACTATGTCTTTAATTTTGTTATTTCCATTACCTAACACAATTCCTGGCACAGTAAATATCTGGTGAATAAATGAATAAATGAATAAAAAGGAGAAGAACAGAACTTGATGACTTCATGAGAGAATCTCAAAAGGAGAAAGAATCAAAGATCACTTCTAGGTTTGAATGTAAGCCATCAGGCAGAATGGTGGTTTCATTCATATAATAAGGAAGTCGGGACGGAAAGCAAATTTGAGAGGTCAAAAAAGGAAGAAACTGCTGAAATATAATATTTGCCATATGTGTGTGTTCAGATGGATTTACTTTGTATTTAAACAGAAAAAAATGGCAAGAGAAACTAAAGGAGGACTTAGAAGGTTCCTTAATAATCTGAGTAACATATAATTAAGAATGTCAACCTCTGGTGTTGGTCTTGACATGCTCTGAACCAAGGAGAATGCACACAGACACTAGTGGACAATATTTCGCTATTTCTAAATGGAGAGGATACAAAATGAGATTTATCTCACCGAGAGTTATGGTACCAAGTGTGTCAAAGATACTCTTTGCTAGACTCTCTGTCTCCTTCATCAGCTGAGAGATGATGCATTTAAATCTGTCAGTAGTCCGTGATTCCACTTTCCTGAAAACTAAAGCCATCAAAAGAAAGTATTTTTCAGAAAGAACACATCACAATTCAAAGTATGTCTAAACTTTTGTTACTTCCTCTATAAAACCTGAGACTCCAAGCTCACAAGGAGGTAGTGTAGATGGTAAAACAAATGCTCACAAACCTTGTAACAGCTCCTTAGTGCTTAATGCACTGATTCTAACATCTCTGTCTTTTGTGTTCTGGGTCTAATCCAACTTCTCATCTGGCTTTCCTGTTACTCAACACAGAGCCTCTACTCTGATGAGGCTGGTATCCATCTTATCTGTGCAAACGCCACACTTTTTAACCTTGTCCAGTTCCTTGATCCTTTCCCACCCAACCCTCAGGAGTATTCACACTGTTTCTAACATCCGTTGTTGCATTGTTTCAGCAGAAACTTATTAACGGCCTACCACGTGCCATGTTCTGGTGATGACAGTTGAAAAGAACACACTCCATGCTCCAGAAAGGTCTGTGTTCTAAGGGGACAGAAAGATATGTAGCCAATAACCACAGGAGAGTGCTGCAACCTAAGTATGTGCAAGGCATCATGGAGGGCAGGGAAAGGAATCTCAAATTCTTCCACGGGAGGCGGTGGTGTGGGATAAGCGGGAGAAGAGGAAAGGAAGAAGCAAACACAATCGTGTACAAAGGACAGCACGGACAAAAGTTTAGAGAGGGAGACCACATGACATATTTGAGGAGCCCACAGGAATGCAACATGGTTGCATTTGTGGGAGGTGGAAGGAGATGGAGCTCAGAGGGCAGGGGGACCACATAATGAAGAAATTTGTACTTGATACTAAAAAGTTTAGATTGGGCACCATCTCTAAACCCCGTATAGGCAGCTCCCAGAAAGGAACTTAACTGCCCTTTCCCCGACTATTTCGTGTGTTTGTTCTGCTTTATACTTATACAGTCATATGCTATTCAGGGAGCAAGGATGAAGCCGTGTATATCTTCTCTCCCCTCTCACTCTTGCTGGGTTAGTGTAGCATTGAGACTCAATAAACTTTTGTGAGTCAATTTATTTAAAAAAATATATTCTGATCTTTTGAGCAAAGATATGATGAATTCCAATAATTTCATTTCAACCAAAATGATCAGATACATATTGAAATAATAACTACAGAGTATCCTTTTCAGGCATGGAGCACAGGGAAGGACTGAGCTCCGCTCTTGGCTATTTACATACTTAGATTTTCTCATCACCTCTCTCTGATTGTTAGTATCTTCGTAAGAATTTTATGGAGTGGAAGAAGTAAGAATGTTTGCTTTCTCCAGGCCATTCCTGCAGTTCATTCATTGCTTGGGGAGAGAGCTCAGCTGAAGAGAGAGATCCAAAATGTGATTATTTCAAAATCTGGGGGTTAAATATTTTCTACTGAACAGAGGTAAAAATTCATTTTCATCCAAATGGCTCTGAACTATGAATAGCAGAGTATAACGAAGTTCCAAAGGGCATGTAACTGGATTCCACTTACACTTCTGGGGCTTATAAACAACTTCCTCCAGTTCCTCCAAGTTGTCTTTGACTGTTGCTACCACTGATATGTCAAGAGAAGCACACAGTTTACAGATATATTCCAAGGCTTCACCTGTGCTTTTGGCATCCCCAACGCCAACCGAGGCAGTCAGCCCAACGACCTGTGAAGAGCGTTCCAAACTGTTAGAGATCTGAGAAATAGCATGACATTTCAACAACCCCCCCCACCCCATGTAACTCTCTTCTACTAAAGTAGGTTTTTTCCCCTAACTTCAGATAAAGAGCAAGAACATTTTTTCTGAAATTCTCTATGACATCGCAGATGGAAAGGTCCCCATTCAGCAAAGCACTGAATAAACGCAGGAATCACAAAGCATCAGCTGAACACAAATCAGCACAGATTAAAGAGAAGAAACTCTTTCAAGGTAGGACTTCTCTCTTCCTAACCCTCGTGTCCCCATGATGTATAGAACAACATACTGAAAAGAACTGAAACAAGACACATTTCCATTCCAGTCTCAGCCATGTCACACTGAACAAGCATCTTCAACTCTGTAAAGTTGGGTAACAATAGCTATTTAAAATGATATCTGTGTGAATTTGGTATAATACATTTAAAAAGACTTTAGCTTAATGGTCACCTTATAAATATTTCTTTCTTTCTCTAATAGCCATTCAATAAATACTGAATAATTGGCTCATTATCAAGGAAACTAGTTAACTACCAATTTTTTTTTTCCTAGAAGAAAAAGCTGTAAGAAATGTGATTGCTACTGAATTTTGTCTATGGGCACCATACTGAATTTCTTCTAACCTGTGTTTTCTAAACAGGTAATAATAAAGGCTAGAGATCTTAACACAGAAGTGAGATTGGTATACTATAAATTCATGATTTCCAACCTCATTTGAGCCCCCAATCTGACCCATCAATTCTTCTGTGTACTCCTCTTAGTTCTCTCTCCCATTTCAAATCCTCTCCATGCACCTTGAGCTTCCTCCTTCATTCCCATCTTGATTATTCTTAGCAAATGATCTATCTACATCTCCTACATTAAAGAGAAAAGAGAGGTTATATTCCAGGAATTCCCTATCCTTCCTGCTTCCATCTTGACTCTTCTCGCATCCTCTCTTCTAATGACACCAAAATGGTGTTCCATCTGCTCTCCCATACTAATCCATCTATGTGCCTACCTCTCCCACACTCTCTGATCTCTCCTGGCATCTTGTTCTGTCAATCATTCCCTCTATCCTATTCTGCATCACCTGCTATTCACAACTTCATATTCTATAATCAAGTGATATTGAAGAGCTTCAAGATTCCTGAGCACACCATGTTCTTTCATACCTCTGTACCTCTGGACACACAGAAGCTTTTAATGAAAATCACCCGACTATCTACCTTGTAAACTTTTGTTAGTCTGTCAGGTCTTGCCTTACTTTCATAGCACACTTAGGAACTCTTACTTCTGATTGCACCTTGTACTCACCTCCACAGTGTGCCATCATGAAAAATTATGATCTAATTCTTACATAATTGGCTCCCTACGAAACTTAAGCTATTTGAGGGCAAGGACTATGTCTTTTTATATTTGTATCTCCAGGGCCTTGCACAGTGTAAAACACATGGAGGCACCGAATACATATCAGTGAAGTGGATAAATGAATGAATCAATCAAAATTAATCAATGAATTATATAATATGGACTTAGGACTTGAGAAGGACATCTTCACTGGGGCCAGAGGGGAGGTCAATAGGATTTAGGAATATCACAGCTCTTCTGAGGATCCATCGGACTTTGCAGATACCTGAGGCAGTGAGTCTGAAGATCCTCCAAGTTTCTGATCTAGATAATTAAACATGATCATATTGTAAGGATGATGTTTACTGGTGTTGTGGCACTCGTCAAATATCATCAAAGTAAAGACTGAGAGTGATGGAACAGTCCCATTTTTAAGGCTGTTCACAAGAATCTGTGGAGTTAAAATGATGATGTCATTGTCCTCAATAATCTGTTCCACGGAGACATTCTCAGCTGTTGCTCCAGAAATGCCTGAAACTTTGTACCTGGAAAATGATGAAAGTTGCCTGTTACTAACTACAGTGTGAATGAGGAACCACAAAAATAAGAAATACTAGATCAGAACATCAATTGATTAAATCTCCCTAAGTCCAAAAGGAGACAAGTGCTTAGCACAGAGCCTCACACATGGTAAGTGATCAATAAATGTAAGCTAGTTAAAATTGCTACTGGTATATATTAATCCTTTCAAGCCACTGAGAAAGGAAAAGTACCTAAAGAATTAAATTAAATAAATTATTATAAAATCATTAAAAAGTTAAATGTGCCATTTAAATATGAAGTTTATCTCAAGTCATTTATTCACTCTGTAAGAGTTAACCAAAGGAGTGTAGGATTTTGGGTATATCTAACAAAAAAGACCTAAATCCATGAAGGAATTATATCTAGACTATATAAAAAGCTCAATCTATTATAAAAAAAAATTTTTTTTATGCCTACAGCAACTGGTCTTCCTAGGTGGTCTCCCATCCAAGTATTAACCAGGCCCGACTCTGCTTAGATTCCAAGATCAGACATCGGACCTGTTCGGGGTGGCATGGCCGTAGACCACGGACCATGGCTCCACTGGGGCGTGTACCCAGGACCTTCTGCATGAAAAGCAGATGTGCTAATCACTACACTATGGAACCACGTCCAATTGTTATAAATTTTTTGAATAATGGTTTTCCAAAAACAAAACAAAGCAGAAAGTACATGAATTACATGAAGCTAGAGAAAAAGAAGTTGGGTCAACTGTTATACCTACCCGCGTCTTTCAAAATATTTTGAGAACACAGATTTCTGCTGTTCATACACTGGAACTTGAACAGCAAAAAACACAACCTTCCCTTTTTGTCCTTGTGGAAATTTTTGAAGATGATGTTCACATATAAGAAGTGAAACAAAGGTTTTTCCACAACCTTTAACATATAAAGAAAAAGAAAACATGTAACTAATATCATGCTAAAATATTTCTGTAGAAAAGTAATTATTTTTGACTCTCCTAAAACTACTGTGCAGACTAGTAAGTTGTGGCTGAGTTAACAATGTCAGAATTTGCACCGTGACTCAAAAATATCAAGGTACCTTCTAGGTAATATGTATTCAGTCATGGCTTAAAACAAGCTAAACAATAGTATTTTTCTTTTTCCTGATGTTCCTTAAAATACCTTGAGATTATTAATAGAATGGTTTTCTCAAAAGACAAATGAAACAAGGAAAAAACTGAAACTTAGCCATTTTATCCAGTATTCAATAAAAGAAATTAAGAAACAAACCATATAAGTAAGTAATGGCAATCAGCTTACCAGTAGGAGCACATATTATTGTGTTTTTTCCGTTCTTAGCAGGCAAAGCAAGCTCTAGTTGGTAACCTCTTGGCTTCATTGGGCTGTGAGTATGAGATACTTCTAAAATACAAAAGGAACAAAATTACTCAATATTTTTTGGGTTCTGTCACTATACATTCACACATAGACAGGAATTCCAATTTTAGCAAGGGCCTCAAGCCTGTCTCCTGTTAACCAGTCCAGCTTCTCCACTGATCGGGAAGTTCAGAATTCTCCATCAATGACAAAGTATTGATGGCAAGAAGGAAAAGAAAAAAAAACAGAAAAAAAAACAAATGGCTTAAATCAGGGCAAGATAGGTGGCTATCAGTTAAAGGAAATGCTACATGGAACAAACAGCAAAAAATCCCTCCAAGATCTCTGAAAAACACCAAACTGTAAATGGTAAATTCCCAAAGAAACTTCCTACTGAAGAGCAACTATACTTTGTAATTCTGCTCTCACATGGTATTTCCTTTCAATAGAACCAGAAATTTTAAAAAGTAATCAGAGGCTTTTTCTCACTAATAGATAAGTATATAGAATGTAAAGAGCTACAAAAGACCTTGGAAATCACTATTGAGTACAACCTATCCATTTTTTTAAAAAGGGAGAATTTCAAAAAGGTTAAGAGAATTCACTAATGACTTTTAAATGTCAGAAAAGTTCAAAGCAACTTAAATTTATTGATTTTATTCTGGTCGCAGAAGTAATCTGTAAATTTAATTCTTGTGGCGTTATCATCAAATCACATCTTTCTTCTAACACTACTTATTATTAATCATAATTTCTTCCCTGATGCCTTTTTGTAAATAACTTTTTACTATAACTTACTATGCAACTTTCTGGACTCCTCATGAAAATATCCTTCTAGAAACATAAGGTGGGCCTTAGAAGGCCACAGCTAACTTACACGGGCCTTTGTATGAATTAGGAAAAGTGCCCCTCAATGCACTGTTTGACAAACAACACAGGCTGGATCTCAGCCTCCACTCAACCTCTCAGCCTCCACTCAACCTCTCAGCTGGGCACATATGTGCAGTGCACAGACTTCATCTACTTACACTGCACCCTGGGATCCTAAAAAGAGATTGAGCAAGTAACTCACAAATCGTAGAAGTATTTCTTTAGAAAGCAAAGCTGATTTTGGATTTCACAGACATTCAGTTTCTGGGAGGACTCTATTTGCATTTTCAATGTAGACATGCACATACTTTCTTAGTGATAAAAGAAGACAAAAAGAAGGTAAAAGAGGGAGAAGCTGACAATAGCTATGGAAGGGAGAGAATGACATTCCTAATTACAGGAAAAAAGTATCAATTGTAATATAAATTCACTTTACTTATGTTTCCTTAAAAATCTTTTCGTAAGGCTATGACTTTTGGCACTGAAAACATGTCCTTACACAACTACTTGAAGTGCACCATTATGGAAAAGAACAACAATGGTGCATACCTGAAGGTGGACATGAATTCTCACTAAGATTCTGGCATTCTGGTTCTTCCTTGTAGAAAATCTGTACTTCGGAAGTTTTCATTTCCTCATCCTCAAGGTCTTGCAATGCAACATCTTTTGCACCTTAATGAGATAAAAAACATCTTAGAATTTTTACATGATCTGATTACAATCTTGATGGTGAAAGCCCTACAAAAAGAAGCCATAATAGTATATTTTAAACTTCCATTAAGATATCTCGCAACCACCCCCTTCACCTTTCAAAACAATTAAAAGAATCTTTTTTGAGTTTGATATCTCAATTTAGAGTTTGAACTCCAATGTCATTACAGACTTTATTATTCAAAATGCGGAACTTAAACCAGTAGTTTTGGGAGCTTGCTGGACATGCAGACTCTGGAGCCCCTAGTGAATCATAATCTGATTTTAAACAAGATCCCCAGGTGATTCACATGCATATTAAGGGTGAAAAGCAAAGCTGAGCAGATATTCATGTCTGCCATTGTTGACCTGACTCAAGAAATCAGATGTGTATTTTATACAATTTCTGGAACAACTCGTGATCTGAAGAAGCCTAGGAAAAGCAAAGACTAGATTCTCCGAAGGTTTACCAAACTCAGCCTTTAAAACAATGCTCTGAGAAGATGTTAGCTTCAGGAAGCCCAATGATGGCTTTGATATTTAATCACAATAGATTATTTTTTTTCAATCATGTTCTGGCTTCTAGGCAAGAGAACCAAGCAATGCCTATTGTGAGTCTACTCTGAAAAGGGGGTGAGTCCTGGAGTTTAAACCTTTACCTCTAGAATTTTCAGGCTATTTCTCTGATCATCTAAATGCACACAGCGAGCTCTGATTCTGCCTTCCCCAAATCCTTTGGACCAGATGGGCTAATTCTGAATGAGAACGGCTTGCGCTGGTCCCTTTTTAGGGGTTATATGCAATCAAACTACTTCCTAGGCAAGTAGCCACTTGCCTTCCAGAACTCAGTTTCGTGCTGGTCTCTAACATTAGAGATTTAGCCATGGGTATCTGACCAAAGAAAAATGCCTCTGACAGTGAGTGAAAAACAAGTAGGATTGAAGGAAGCCATGAGTAGAACTATGAGGCAGGCAGAGCATGTTTTCAGATACTCCCTCCCTTCAGAGTTCTTCCTTGAATATCCCACCTTTCTCTGTAATCCACAGTTCACTGAACTTGCTTTCTTCTTTCTCCAAAGCAAGTTTCAAAGATTTGGGCCAGTTCTCCTTGTCTGATCTGAGAAGGCATTCAACCATTTTCTCTGCACCAGCCATCGGCCCCTTGTTAGAACAAATCTAAGCAAGACAAATATCGTTGATGGATCAATAATTTTGTTTTCCTTTTATGAGTTTTTACTGAAGAAATACTAATTTAAGTGCTATCTGATTTAAAATCATTGTACATTATGGTTCAGTAGGTCTTATTCATGACCAGTTTTGCTCCATCCAAGACAGTCTTTTAAGATGTCTATTCCTTCATCCTTGTCCTTTACATGTTATGTCACTATGTCAAGCCAAACATTCTCACTTTCTCTGAAATCTTATATCCAATCATCATCAGCAATACTAGGAAAACAATCCATTTGACAACCACTCAGAATACTGGCATAGAGAAATATTTGGAAGGATATAACCAAATGTTAACAAATATTTTTTTCAGGGTAATGGGACTTACATGACTTTTATTATTAATGATAACTAAAATTTATTGAGCACTTATTACTATGTGCCAGGCATATATACACACTTTACATTACCTCATTTAATCCTTAGAAAAATAGAGTAATAAGATACTATTATTATTTCCATTTTATACACAAAGAAATAGAGGCTTAGAGAAACTAAGAAACTTGCCTACAGTCACACCATTAGTAACTGGTTGAGGCAGCATCCTAACAAAATTTATGTGTCTAGAGCCTGAAACACTAGAGTTTATGGCTTTTTTCTTTTTATTTGCTAAACTGCTTAATTTTATCTAAATTTACATAAAACATTATTCACATAAGTAATAAAATAATTTTAATTGAAAATAGGGCAAATCTGAAAAAAACTTGTCACATAACAATTACTCAATTCACAATTAAAAGTACTTTTCTAGGTAATTCTACCTTAGGTTTGTGGACTTTTGTGGACTTCAATGATCTTTCTTAGGTTTAAAATAGTATAGAAAACAGAAAACATTTTCCATTTTCAAATTATTTCCCCCAGATTCAGTACTTTAATTAAATTACCTGTGTAATTTCTTCACATTCCTGATCAAGTAAACATTCAGATATGTCAGGAAGGATATCACTTGGGTTAATTCTGGTTTTAAATTCTGGTTGCAAACGCCTTAAAAGCAATCTATACTCCTCCAACTTTTCAATTTTTTGGAAATCCCAATTTTCAATGGCTTCATAAAGGCCAGAATAACCTGAAAAAAAAATCAGGGGCTTTTATGAGACCAACTGAAAAATACTTTGAGATTAATATCATAGGAGTCATGTGGGAATGTATAGTGACAGAACCCCAAAAATATCCATAAATCACCTTAATTATTAATGATCTTTCAAAAAGAAAACTCAATATTCATTTTAGACACCCAACATTTTAGGTCCTCTATCAATATTAATCATCTTTTAAGAGAAAGAACTAAGGATAAATGTGAAGTCTTACATTTGGCCTTAGTGTAAAATCTTTCTTCCAAAGTACCCCCATAGACTTTACCTACAACCCCTGATTTGTCTTTCAGTGAGTCAAATCATCATGTTATTAAAAATCTTGTCAATGCAAAGTAGTAAAGAAGGTAACAAATAATATAAATCTTAATTCCTGCCCCTCAGGAGCTTCCCTTCTATATTATCCAAAAAAATATATTAAGTACAATAAGAAATTTCAGGAGGAAAAAAATTATTTCCAACTGTAATAATCCAAGATTGCTTCACTCTAAGGTTCTCTGATTTTAAGAATTACCAAGCTTGTCTGATTTTCCCACACTCTTGCTATAAAAAGCAGAGCAACAAAATGAGCACACGTAAGCCCACTACCCAACTTAAGAACTAGAACATTTCAATATATTTGTGGATATGTGCCTCCTTTTCCCCATCCTTCTATCTCCCTTCGAATATACCACTATCCTGTATTTGATGTTTCACTCCCTTGATTTTTTTTAATAGTTGCATGACATATGTTTGAATCTCTAAACAATATATGGTTTAGCTTGTTTGAATATTTATAATTAAATCCTACTAAATGTAATTTCCTTTGGCTTTTTTAAAAAGCTTAATATCATATTTCTAAGCTTTACCTGTGTTGTCATTTGAAGTTTTGTTCATATATTTTCACTGGAGTATAATGAAGCATTGTGTGAATATTTTCAAATTTATTTATTCATTCTCCTCTTCAAGGATATTGGGGTTGCTTTCAATTTTGTTTGTTTGATTGCTTGCTTTTGTTACTACAAACAGTCAAACACTGAATATTCTTGTGTGAGTATTCTGAAATATATGTATAACAGTTTTTCTAGGGCTCATATTTAAGAATGAAACTTGGATAGAAGGATCTTAACCTATACAAGATGATGCTGAATTGTTTTTCAGAATAGTTGTATCAAGTTACACTCTGTATTGTGATATGTAAGATTTCCCATGAAATGTCCTCTTCGAACCTTAACACTGTATTTCTTAAGTTTTGCTATCTAGTAGTTATAAAATGCTATCTCGTCGTGTTCCTAATTTAAAATTCCCTAATTGCTAATTCAGCTGAGAATCTTTTTGTGTTTATTAACCTTTCATGCTTCCTATCCTTTGAAATGTAAGTTCATATCTTCTGCCCTGTGGATATTCTCTTTCTTTTTCTAATTGATTTTAAAGCCTTTTTAGTATATTCTATATACAAATTCTTGGGTGATTACATATTTTACAAATATCCTCTCCCTGTTTGTGACTTGTGTTTTTACTTTCTTTATATTGTGCTTTGATAAACAGGTGTTCTTAATGTCTTCAAATTTATCAATCTTTCTTTCATGGTTAATGCTTAAATGTCTTATTTCATAAATCCTGCCATACCCCAAGGTCATAAAAATATGATTCTATGTTCTTTTCTAAAATTGTTAAAATTTTGCCTTTTAGAATTAAGTCTTTCATTCTTTTGAATTCACTTTGTGTTTATATGAATGGAATGAGGTAAGGAACACAAATTGATTTATATCCACATGGATATGAAAGTTAGAGTTTGTTTGGTTTTTAACATTATCCTCTTTAGGTTATCCTGTTTATAATGGCCCATTGTGATTTATCAGAAAGCTCCTCCTTTCCTAATGATCCTCCTTTCCCAATGCTCTCTAATATAACAGACTTTCATAAATACATAAGCCTAATTAAAGGCTCTCTTTTCTATTTCAGTGGTCAGTTGGTCAATACCAAGACCGGAGTTACATTGTCTCAATGTCTATGGCTTTACAATAAATCCAGTTATCTAGAAGGGGAAATCCTAGCCTATTTAATTCTTCTTCTTTAGGGATACCTTGACTATATTCTTGAGTCATAATTTTTCCATATACATTTTAGAATCAGCTTGTCAAACTCATGAAAAAGCAGGTAGGATTTTTATTAGAATTGTATTAAAATATAGATCAATGTAGGGAGAGCTGACATTTTTGTGATAACAAGTCTTCCTCTCCATGTAATTCCACTTAGATAGGACTTCTTTCATACCTTTCAATAACATTTTATCATGTTCTCCATTCAGACTTTACACATCTTTTGCTAGGTTTATTCCTAAATACATTACAACTTTTGTTACTATTATAAATAATATTTCGTTTTAGATTAGATTTTCTATTTGTTTCCAGTGGGTAGAAATGCAACTAACTTTTGTATACTGATCTTATATCTCTAATAAACTTACTAAACCCCATAGGTTACAATACTCTCTATAGATTCCTTTGGATATTTCAGGTAGACAATTATATTATCTGCCCGAAAATAGTTTTTACATTCTCTCAGATTAAAAGACATGAGCTATATGTGGATACCTCAAAATTAATAACATTTCACTTGTACAGCATTCCGAAATAGTTGGGCAATATACTCTGATTTATGAATAAGAATGAACTAACCTGCATGGTTAAGAGCATCCATAAATCCACGGAACCAGCCTTCCTCCTGGAGCTCCAATAGGAACCTGAGAAAAAGTGAGGCAGCCTCTACTGTACCCTTGTTGTTTTTCTCAGCCTGAATATACTGCACTTCATCTATAAACAGAAGCAAAAGTGACTCATCACACTGCAGAACCATTAATTATTGGAAGAAAAACTGGAAAAGCGTTGTCAAACTTTTTCAAATAGGGATGAAGACTGTAACAAATCACAGCAATAGAAGGAATTGCAGGAAGGCAGCAAATTCTCTGCCCAGGCAGATGACGTCCATTCTTCACCAATACCTCACCCTGCAATCCTCTCTGGAAACTTCTCCTAGTTTGGTATGTAAATGTGGGAGCGCACTCTCAGGCAGTCCTTAAGAAAAGGAGTTCTTTAAAGATGTATGAAAGAGTCCCCATGACAAGAGAGAAGTCCTGGTAGCTCTGGATTAGAAGGAAGAGCAAAGGCTTCCTCAAACATTTTGATAGCCTCTTGTTCAAAAGTCAGAATTAACTGAAGGACTAAAGAAGTGTGAGGATAGGACCACTCCTTGGCATCAGCAACATGTACAGTAGACTCAGCAAGCAGAGTTAGAAATAAACAGAGACACTTTGATGGTCATTTTTTCCAGGCTTTTGCTAAGACACTAGGCAATATGGCAGAAGAGAGAAAGCAAGAGGAGTTAAAAGAGACATACAGTGAGGCCAGGCAGCAGAAAACTATCCACCAACTTGCTGGTGGTCATACTGACTTTGTACACTAACTCCATGTCTGGGGTGGTAACCAAACTGTTGCCTTCATATGAACTGACATTTGGTAATTTTCCATTTTTTCCCCATTTTCAATAGCATGTAAATCCCAAGGGAGAAGCCAGTTTGTCTGGCTGATTAACCACTGTATTCTCAGTGATTACCAGAGGCCCTAACGTATAACAGACACTCAGTAAGGTATGTTGGAAGAAAGGAAGGAATGTCTTCCTTCTCTGCCAAGGTCTCTCTGTCTTGGCAACAATAAAATTAACCCTTTTAAAGTGTAAAAATTCAATGGTTTTTCGAGTTGTGAAACCATCACCACTATCTAATTCTAGTACATTTTCATTACTGTAAAAAAATCTTATAGCCATTAGCAGTCACTCCCCATTTACCCTCCCCTTAGCCTCAGACAACCACTAATCTATTTGGGTCTCTAAGGATTTGCCTATTTTGGACATTTCACATAAATGAAATCATACAATACGCAGGCTTTGTGACTGTGTTCTTTCTCTTAGCATACTGTTTGCAAGGTGCATCCATGTTTAGCATGTGATGCTATCCCCAGCTTTCCAAAGTAGAATTTCTTGATATCTTTCTATGCTTTCTGTCTCTTTGCATGTCTCTAACCAGAGCACTGGGATTCACACCAGTTTGTTTCACTCATTCCAAGAATTTCTAAGAGATGTCTTGCAGGGGCTTACATTCTTCAGGGACCAAAGTTACTCTGTGGTCCTTAGGGTAGTGTTTTGTTACTTCATTCTAAGCACAACTAGAAAGTGGCAGTCCACTTTTGTTGTAGGTATTTTTACTCCTCATTCCACATCCTGTGCTTTGGTTTTGCAGAGCAATTAGCAGGCAAGTTACCTGCCTGCTTGAACGCAATTTGCAAAAAATGCCTCACATCAGGAAAGATATTTAGGCACTTGGAGTCTGAAAAGGAATTGCCAGATCCCCTCTCTCATCTCAACTCCTTCCAGGCACCACCTTCCTTCTCTCTCCCCAAAGTCTCTGCTCATCTGCAGCACAAAGCACTACGAGACAAATGTACAAAACGGCCCATTATTCTTCATCATGTGTCTCAAAAGCTAGATGGAATTACCTGAATTGAAGCCTACAGCCACCCGGTCCAAGTCTTGCTCCTCTCAGGCTTCGTTATTTGGAAATGGCCGGCAGAGTAAGCGTTAACTGCCTTGAAGCTCTGACATTATTTTGTAATCATTCGTATACATCCGTCCTCACCCGTCTCCCACCCCCAAAACCCTGGGCTGTAAAGTATTTTAAGGAAGGGTCTGTATCTTCTGAACCTCTCTGATGTCAGCACAAAGCCGAACACACACAGTAGACATTAACTATTAATAGAAACAAATAAAATGAACAGCGACTTGTTTCTCCAGCCTTTGAACCTAAATAGATGTGCACCCCTAAACAAGTCATTTCACCTCGCTGGGACTCAGTTTTCCCATCCGGGCTTCCAACGGCTCCTCAAATTCTGACAATCTCTAGTCTAAAATGCTGTCGAGAGCTTGCTGCAAACTCGACGTTCCCAGCAGGCTACCCGTTACCAATTTAAAAGAAGGAGAAAAGCAAAGGGAAAACACCTCTATTTTCCTGCCTCAGGGGGCGCGCGCTGCTGGGGACCACTCACCCTCCTTAAACCAGGGGGCCATGTAGCTCAAGATGTAGGTAGGGTCCAGAATCTTCGTGACATAGTCCCGGAAAGTGTACAGATTCTGCCGCTCCTCGGCCGTCATGCTCGCAGCCTTACCTGCGCTCCTCTCCCTTTAAAGCCCGCTGTGAGCCGGCAGTGGTTTTCCGAAAAATGGTTCCAGCACAGAGAGGCGGAGCTGCTGGGGAACCTTAACTAGAAAGGAAGAATCGAAACTGCAACTGGCGGCGGGCTTGGACGGCGGAGGCGGGGCTGCAGCAGGGGACAGCCGCCCCGCCCAGCCGCCCCCGCTCAGTTTGGGTTGGTCTCGGGCCGCCTGCTTTTCCCACCTGTCGGCGCTCACTGATCTAGAGGGACCGAAGAGGATCCCTGGGAATTGATGTTTTGATTTTCATTTTATCTTATATATTTTTTTTTGTTTTGCTTTTATAGCGGTAAAGTTTAGGTTCCGTAAAGTGCACAAATTTGAAGTGTACCAATACTGAGTTTTGAAAAATATGTACAATGGAACCACTTTCCCTAGGTCGTGTGGATCCTAGGGTAAGTGTGTGTTTAACGATATAGGAAACTGCCACCTGTTCCAAAATGGCCATACTCATAAATGGCCTTTTGCATTCCCACCGTTAATGTAAGAGAGCTCCAAATCCAGTAAACTCACGCGCAAGTCAGTTAGTTTGTTTGCCACTCTGGTTAGTGTGAAATGGTCTGTTACTGTGGTTTTAATTTTAATCCCTCAAATAATGAATGATGTTGGGCACATTTGTATGTACTTATTGGCCAGTCATGTCTTTTTGCGTGTGAAGCATCTGCTCTGATCTTTTGCTTGATCGAGTGGGTTTTTCTATTATGGATTTACAAGTTATTTATTTATTCTGGATTCAAGCCCATTGTCAAATATACATATTCCAAATATCTGCTCCCAGTCGGTGACTTACATTTCATTTTCTTAAAGGTGTCTTTTGAGCAAGAAATACATTTTGGTGAAATCTGATTTATCAGGGTTTTTTTTCCTTTTGTTTACAGCCTTTTGTGTCTTCTTTAATAAATCTTTGCCTACTCCAAGGTCATGAAGGTGTTCTGTGTTTTGTTTTAGAGTCTCTGTGTTTTTAGCTTTTGCATTTAAGTCTATGATCATCTCTAATTTTGTTGTGGTGTGAGGTAGGAGTTAAGGTTTCATTTTCTCCCATACTTCTAATTGTTTAAGCACAAATTGTTTCAACATTTGATGAAAACCTTTCCTTCTCCCATTGAATAGCCTTGGCATCTTTGTCAAAAAAAAAATCAATCGACTGTATGTGTGCAAGTCTGTTTCTAATTCATCTGTTCCATTTATCTATTTGCTGATACTGTTTTATTCTTATTTTGTAAAGACTGTATTTGCTATTTCAGGATCTTTGCATTTTGCTATTACATAAGAATCAGCTTGTCAGTTCTTACACACATGCACTCTCACACAGATCCCTATTGGGATTTTGATCAGGACTGCATTGAACCCATAGATGAACTTGGGGAGAATTGACATCTTAACAATATTGAGTTCTAATCCATGAATTCATTCATTCAGGTTTTCTTTTGTTTTTCATTTATTTGTCTTTTTCTCAGCAGTATTTTATAGTTTTAAGAGTATAGGTCTTACATGTATCTGTTAAATTTAACTATTTCATTTTCTTCGATGCTACTCTAAATGGAATTGTTTTTAAAGTTTCATTTTCAAATTTGTTGCTAGTATACAGAAATACAACTTTTGTTTCTTGACCTTGTTTTATAAAACAGTGCTAAATTCACTTCTTAGGTCCAGTAATTGTTCTGTAGATTTCTTAAATTTTGCTAGGTAAATAACCATGCCATTTGTGAATACGAATTTCACTTCTTCCTTTCCAATCTTTATGACTTTTATTTTGCTTCCTTATTGCACCACCTATGACTTCCAATTAAATATTGAATAAGATTTGGCACCCTTACGTTATTACTAATCTCAGTGGGGAAACGATCCATGTTTCACTTTAATTACAATGTTGGCTGTAGGTTTTTCTTAGATGCCTTTAATTGGATTGATCTTCTCTTTTATTCCTGGTTTACTCAGAGTCATCATGAATGGGTATTGAATTTTTTAAATGTTTTTTTCTGCATCTAGTAAGGTGATCATATGTTGTTAACATACTGAATTTTCATTGATTGATTTTGAGTATTAAACCAACCTAGAATTCCTGGGATAAATCCCATTTGGTCATGATGTAGCATCCTGTTTTTTCATATATATATTTCTGGATTTGATTTGCTATTATTTTTATATCTATGTTCATAAGAGAATTTGGTCTGTAAGTTTTTTTTCTTGTAATGTCAGGGTTATGCTGGCCCTTAAAACAAGAGTTTATGTAAGACTGGTATCATTTCTTCCTTAAATATTTAATAGAATCCACTAATGAAACCATTTGGAGTTTTCTTTGAAGAGTCTTTGTAACGATTAGATATAAGGCTATTCTGATTTTTTATTTTATCTCAAGTCAGTTTTGATAAGTTGTGCTTTTCAAGGAATTTGACCATTTCCTCTTTTTAAACTTATTGGCATAAAGTTTTCGTGAATTCCTTATTATTCTTTACCTTAAAAAAAAAAAAATCAGTCTTGTCAGGAATTTACCAATTTTAATTATCTTTTCAAAAAACTAACTTTAGCCTTAGTTTTTAAAAATTGTTATTCTATTTTCTATTTAACTGATTTCCACTCTAATCATTAGTCTTTTCTCCTACTCCCTTTGAGTTTAATTTGCTCTTCTTTTACTAGTTTAAGGTAGACATTTAGATCACTGATTTTATACATTTTCTTTTCCAATATAAGCATTTAAGTCTGTAAATTTCCCTCTCAGCTGAGAAGTTCTAACATTCCATCAGTTTTGATATATTATTTGCAATGTCTTTCTATTTTAGTTTCTATTATCTCTGTGATTTCTTCTTTGATCTGTGAGTTATTTAGAAGTGTACTGTCTATTTTTCAAATATTGGAATTTCTTAAACATTTTAGGGTTATTGACTTCTGATTTTAATGTTATGACCAGTTTCATATGTTATAAGACTTCAACCTTTTAAAATTTATTGAAACTTGTTTTATGGCCCTGCCTATAGACTATCTTGATGTATATTCCAGATGTACTTAAGAATGTGCATTCTGCAGTTCTCGGGTGTAATGTTCTATAAATGTCAATTAGTCAGGTTGAGTTATAGTGTGATTCAAGTCTCCTATATCCTTACTAATTTTCTGTCTACTTGTTCTGTCAAGTACTGAGAGGGGGTGTTAAAATCTCCAACTATGATTATCAATTTGTCCATTTGTCCCTTTTGTTCTATCAGTTTTGCATCATAAATTTTATAACTCTACGATTAGATGCATACACATTTAAGGTTATATTTTCCTGATAAATTATGTCTTTTATCATTATAAAATGTCTCTTTTGTCTCTGTTAATATTTGTTATATCAAAATCTACTTCATGTGGTATTCTTATACACATAACAGCTTTCTTATGCTTACTGTGCATGGTATTTCTTTTTCCATACTATTGCTTCAACCTCTCTGTTAATATTTAAAGCACATCTCTAGTATACAGATTATAGTTGGATCTTCCTCTTTTTTAAATCCGATCTGACAATCTCTGCCTTTCAGCTGGAGCGATAAATCCATTTACATTTAATTATTGACATGGGTTTAAAACTGCAGTCTTGCTGTTTGTTGCATCCAATCTTGTTCCTCTGCTCTTCCAGTACTTCAATTTAGGATAATCAAACATATTTTTACTTTTCTCTCTTTTAGCTATAGTTCTCTGTATAGTCATATGCCACTTAATGATGGGGACAAACTCTGAGAAATGCCTCCTTAGGCAAGTCCATCATTGTGCAAACATCACAGAGTACATTTACATGATCTTAAATGGTATAGCCTACTACATACTGTGGCTATATGGTATAGCCTATTGCCCCTAGGCTATAAGCCTGTATGGCCTGTTATTGTACAAAACAACATGAAAGTAAATCAAGCCCAAGAGAAAAAGATGCAATCAAGAAACACAGTAAAGAGTTGTATGAGGTTGCTACTGGTAGATCAGAGCGTACTGTTTTACAGAAAACGTTTTTCTTTTCTTTTATAAGTAGAAAGAGTACACCATAAAATAACAATAAAAAATATAGTGTAGTAAATACATATACCAGTAACACGGTCATTTATTTTCAAGTATTATATACTGTACATGATTATATATGCTATACTTTTATAAGACTGGCAGTGCACTAGGTCTGTTTATGCCAGTATCACCACAAACAACCAAGTAATGCATTGTGCTATAATGTTACAACTGCTATGACATCCCTAAGCGATATGAGTTTTTCAGCTCCATCACCATTTTATGGGACCTGTCTTATATGCAGTCCATCATGAACTGAAACGTCTTTATGCAGCACATGACTGTAGTCTTTTAGCTTTATGCCTCTCTCCCTCATCCTTATGTCAGTCTACTTAGAATATTATACCACATCAGGTAAAATATAAAATCCTTGCAACCACATCATTCCATCTACCCCAGCCCATCCTTTGTGCTATTGTCATAATTTTTACTTCTCTATATGTTATAAGCCACATAATACAATGTTATAAGCTTGTTGTAGTCAGTTAGTTGTCTTTTAAATAAAATAAGAAAATTATAGTCTTTTCTATTTTCCCATCTATTTAGCATTTCTGGTGATATTCATTCCTATCTGTAAATACTGGTTTCTATCTGATGTCATTTCCCATCTGGCTTCTCTAATATATTAAGGCTTCCAGTGAATTTTTCACTTCAAATATTGTTTTTAAAAATTCTGAGATTTCCATTGGTTCCTTTTTTTCTACTTTCCATTTATCAGCTGAGAACCTCTATCTGTTCATTCACTGTAACTATCTTTTAAGTTCATGTACATATTTCTAATAGGGTCTTTAAAGTCTGTCTGCTAATTCCATCATGTGGATTATCTCACAGTATGTTTTTGTAACTGCTTTTTCTCTTTACTATAGGTACTTTCATATGTCTAGTAATTTTTTATTTTATACTGGACATTATAGATATGCTTTAGAATCTCGAGGTTCTATTATTTTACTCTGGGGAGTGTTGTTTTTTGTTCTAGCATGCTAACTTAACAGCCACTCGTTCTGAATTTATAGAGGCTTTGTTTTACATAGTGGAGGGTCTGTTTAAGCTG